ACATGGCTTTTGTGGCATCACAAAAGATCCCTCATCTTCAAAGTGAAAGGTCTGATTAGATTAGGAATATCGCATGCAATACTCTTCCTCTGGCCTTCCTCTCCAGCACCCATGGCAAGCAACAGATGAAGGGATTTCCTTGCTGAGACCAGAGTGAGCCTGGTTACCCTTCTCTACACAGCCAGGCAGCCGCTACCCATCAACCCCTTTGTCGCTCAAATTGGAACCAATTTGCTCTTCTCAGTGTTGATATTACATTGCATGCCTTCCAGGGATAGTTCTATATTCATATATAACAACAGCATTCAAGTAATATAATTTTGAAATGTTTTCTTTGGAAAAATTTTTTTTAAAGAAAGAAATATAAATGCTGGTAGGATCAATAGAAATCACTTCAAATGGCAATACAGTCAAAGATAAATTCTCAAATCGTACGGTTAGCATTATCAATTCAAAGTTATTACCTATGGAAATCCTACCAGCACACTATGAGCTAGTCTTCTATTGTTTGTAACACAGATTACACATTGATGTATTTCCACATAAGTTACTTAGGTACAGGTAAAACTTTAAACAATGAAACATTACCTATCTCTACAACTGATTAGGATACACAAATGAATAATACATATTACACAAGCTAATGTATTATTTTTAAAATGTGATCATAAACCAGGACAAACTACAGGCCCCTTGAATGAAACCTGCTCGAGCATTCCAATAACTAAGAACATGACCACGATGTCGGCAACCACGTGGTTTTATGGAGCCATTTTCCTGTTTTCCAGAGCTGAATTATTACATTTCTTAAAATCTTTTCTATTTCTTTTTCTAAATTAGAACATGTGGAGAGCAGCNTATTGAATAATACATATTACACAAGCTAATGTATTTTTTTTAAAATGTGATCATAAACCAGGACAAACTACAGGCCCCTTGAATGAAACCTGCTCGAGCATTCCAATAACTAAGAACATGACCACGATGTCGGCAACCACGTGGTTTTATGGAGCCATTTTCCTGTTTTCCAGAGCTGAATTATTACATTTCTTAAAATCTTTTCTATTTCTTTTTCTAAATTAGAACATGTGGAGAGCAGCTGAACCTGGAGGCTGGCCGAGACTCAGGCAGGAGCAAGGCTGTGCCCTGGAGGCCCTGAGGGACCTTGTCCGGGCAGAGGCAGAGCCAGGCCTGGGGACAGGCTCCCATGCCCATTGTGTAGGCCGGCAGGCTGGCTTAGCAGAGCTATGCTTGCGTGCAGCACGCCCTGCCAAAGGCTGGGAGATGTGACCAGCCGAACAACAGGCAGGTGCCAGCTTCCAGGTACAGTGGGAACCCCCCAAGATGTTGTTCTGGGTGCAGCGAAGCAGTATGTTCTGAGAAAGCTTGCCAAGGGATTGTTTTTGTCCCTCTCAGCTACCCGCAGTTTCCTTGGAGAATTGTTACCTTAATGTATATAATAAAGACACTGAGCTTGCTTGGGGTCGCTGTCTCTCCATCCGAGGGCAGTGTCCCACCTGGCCCCAGCTTTAACTGTCTTCTATGTCTCTGTGTATTTCTTAATCTCCCATCGGTCCTTCTTAGGATCCCCCACTTCCCTGCGCAGGTTGCGGCAAGAACATCTCCCACTGCCTCAGTGCCTGATCTTGAAAATATACTGAAAATGATGGTACTATGCCTTCTTGAGGCAGGAAATTTCTATTTTTATTTTATTTTAAAATATTCTTTTTTTTATTGATTTAGAGAGAGGAAAGGAGAGAGGGAGACATTGATTTTTGTTGTGCCACTTGTTTAGGCACTCATTGGTTATTTCTTGTGTGTGCCCTGCCCGGGGATTGAACCAGAAACCTTGGTGTATTGGGAGGCCAGGGCCTGTACAGGAAAAAATTCTCTGGTAAGTTTTTTGGGTGGCTTGTTTTGTGTATTTTTTGTAACAAAGATGAAAATAGATGTGAGAGGAAAGAGTTTAAATCATGTGACTTCTAATAAAAATACAGGAGAGGAAAACATCCCACCACAACTCCAGAGCACATCAAAACTTCCTGCTGTAGCCTGTGGATTTTCACCCACAAAATCCTGTGTCTGAGTTCCTGTGACCCCTCCACCCCATTTGACACATAACTGCTCTTTAACCAATTTTTGTGGAAAGTTAGAGAACTTATTCACCAGGGCTCAAGGGACTGAGAGAGGGTGGGAAAGCTCTGAGTGTAGAAAAGGTCATTACTTTGGGTGTTGGGAGGGAGGTTAGGATACAGAGACTCACCGGATGTCACACAACAAATTCACCGCATGGAAAACCCCAGGGAGAAATTTTTCAAAGAGGAAGGGTTGGTCAACTAAGAGACTGAGAGGAGCTGGGAGAACCCACAGCATTGAAAGCTTATTATTTCTTGAGCACCTACTATGTGCCAGGGGCTGTGCGGGCTATTGAGGGGCCCAAGGCCTGCAATAGAGGGGAGAGGCAGCCTTAGGAGAGTGGAAAAGGGCATCCCAGACAGAGGAAACAGCATGTGCAAAGGCCCTGAGAAAAGAGGGTGGCAGGCAGCTAAAGAATGTTGTCCAGGAGGGGAATCTGCAGGGACCTAATGATGCAGACAGGGCCTTACAAGCCAGGGTTGGGCTTCATTCACAGTGGGAAGCAGGAGATTTTTAGGCAGGGAGTAATTTCATTTTTTAATAATGAAATCATTTAGGCATTGGCTACTGGACTGAAATAGCTTAAAAGAGGCACGACTGGGAGATGAGCTAGGAGGTGATCTCAGGGGATCGGTGGTGCCACAAAGCTCCTGGTGACTTCAGCACAGGGGTACCGTATTCTCTCTTAGAAGAATTAACTGGGAGGGCATGAGGAGAGGTCAGTGGAGGTTTGACACAGGGTCACTTGGGAAATGCAGGGACAGGGTTTGAAAGAACAAAAATGGTGCCTGGGAGGTGAGGTGAGGATGTGGCCAAGGGTAAGCGAAGGCTGGTCAGGACCTGCAGCCGGAGGCCCTTCTGAGCTGGGGAGCTCAGGCCAGAGATGGGCCTTTGAGTGTAAAGGCAGGTCAGAGGGATCCCCTGGAAGTGAAGGAGAGAGGTGTGGGCATGAGTGGGGCTCTGCTAAAAGGAGCTCTCAGATTGGGCTGCCTTCTTTCTCAGGAAGCAAGGGGCCAGGGCCAAGGGTAAGGAAGATCCTTTCCACTAGCCCTCTTCCCTGCTGGGGCCGGGTCCCTCAGGATTCCAAGGGCCACCAAGAAGTTACTGGCAGGGGCAGGGTCCAGCCATTTCCTCCTCTTGCAGGATTGACAGCTGGACCTTAGGGGGCGGTGCTTCTAGGAATCAAGATTTCATTCCTACCATCCAAGAGGGTCTGAAGACGCTGGCAGATGAGGGTGCAGGATCCTGGCCCACAGAACTGTCCCCATTCTTCAGGTCTCCTAGCACCCAACCCCCTCCCCACATCCTGCCGCCGTGTGTTTCCTCCTCACCACGCCCAGTTCCTCCCCTTCCTCCCCGCTCTGTTCTTCAGGTCAAAGCCCCACCTTCATCTGCATCTCAGCAGCTGCTATTTGCTGCCAATCAGCCCCGAATGCAAAGCTGGTCTTTGTACATCTGCCTGAAGCAGGAAGTCAGGGTTCAGGGGTGGGGGGCATTTGGCCTCACAGATGGTGAGCAGTGCTGTCCCCTTCAGCCTCGCCCCAGGCCCTCCCCAATTTCTGCATTTGCAGTGCCAGGTGAGGCCACCAGCCCAAAGATCAGAAGGCTGCCCCTCCCAACTCTGCCTTCCTTCCAGGCTTGTGTAGGAATGCACTCTACCCATCCCCCACCCCCTCCA